CCGGTAGTGCGTCCTCAGCACAGATATTTTTGTTTGCAGACAGCACTAAAAGAGACATTTGGCTGTCTGAGTAATGCTGCAGCGTCTGACCCAAGTTTACTTTTGGGTCACGTTCTCTACCATGGATATGAAAACAAACAAACCAGGCCATTACCGGTGACGGGCGGTTCTCTTACTCTCTTTACCCATACCTCCCTCTCCTCTTTCACGTGTCTCTGCGCTTTTAAAGGATTCAATTAACCTGAAATGAACCAAGGAATCAAGCAAACAGATACTGCCTGTCTTCCCGTCTCTACCCCATATTCAACTATTCTCCACTCCAGTTCCCTCTTGTCCCTTCTGCCGCCTCCGCTTATTTCTCATCTTCCTCTTGCTTAACTCCTTTATTTAGTTAGTGCAACAGTTTCAGGAAACACAGTAGAGGGGGCAAGTATGAGGGACCAATACTGAATAATAATAATAATAATAACAGAAATAATGCAAATAATAATGTTATTAGTCCTCACAATGCAAAACTCCAATTAATTTTTATTTTTTTTAAGGAAAATGATGGTGGTATTTATTGAATGGCCTGACAGGATATCAACCTACTCAAATATTTTTTGAATACCCAAATTGCCCAGAAAATATTTCCTATTTGATAAACAGACATCTAGTAACCTTGCATTATTGACTAATTAATGTGGCTCTTGGTAAACATACTGTATATAAACAAGGCCAAGAAAAATAAACCTAAAACTACTGTTTATTAACTTAACATAATATGCACTTCATCAGGGTAATTTGCGCTGCTAATTGTGTCACTTTATGCAATAGCATGATTACAGCGGTATAGAGAAACCCTTTTCTTAAAACGTTCATCCTGAGAACAACACAAAAGGATGAATTACTAATAATTGGTTTACCAGGGATTTGGACCCCAAGTAGGCATACATGATATTTAACTACATGGGTTGGATGAGGTGACAAAAGATAAAACACTATGGCTCTTAATGTTCCCCGATGAAAGGACTTCTTTCTAGTAAAAGATATATCACAATTATCTGGCAACTTAACAGTAACATTGATGTACCAGCCACTACAAGAAGAAGACACCTCAATGTCCCATGACATTGTGGGTTCTGTTGCATTGTGGGTAATGTAGGCACCATGATTGACAATGAAAAAGATGCATGAATAAATAAATTGAAAACTCTGGTTCGCTGCATTGTTAGAAAGATGACCCTTTCTAAAGTTTATCTTTCGGCTTGGCAGATGTAGAGCTACATACTGCAGCAACACTATGACAATACCAACCCGGTATCACGGTGAGACGTGAACATGTGACGCTTTACCATTGCTGGGAGACGTGAAGATGTCACGGTTTCGTCTTTTCAAAACGTGAAAAGCGTGACAGCCACACGGTATTGTTAACCCATGTTAACCAGTGGAGAAATAACCGGAAATACCAAGCAAATGCTACCCCGACGTAATTATTTATTTTTTAATAGTCACACTCGATTACAGCGATTTTCTTGTTGCCCCAGCTGGTCGACACCCTTTTAGCATAAACAAAGGCTACATTAATGTATTAAATCGATGTTAATCCATGCGTGTGGATGTGGAATTAACGGACGTGACGTTGTGCGATTGAGTTGCCAAGCAACAGCTTCGGTTCATGTTAATTTACGAACTATTCAACTACAACCGTAGTTATATTTAAAAACATGTTAGAAGGCCTAACGAAATACTTTAATGCACATTAAAATGTAAATGTGAAGGAATGTGTGTATAACAAAATACATCGGTCATTAAACGAAACCGGAAACAGACGTAGGCAAGATCCTCAGCTCGATGATTGGATGGTTATCCGTAATGCATGCTGGGATTTGGTGTTTATGTGATGTGAAATCTGAAAACGTTTTTTAAAAATACAATAATACTTTATTCCGAGTGTGCTTGCTTTACTCTTTGAAAGTCATCACATAACAGCATTGTAATACACGGTTCGGCTGCATTAAATATTACATATCTGCCGTAGTTCTCTATTTATAGAGCCCTGATGAGAAGACTTCTAGACAAACATGAGGCACTGAAAACGTGACGTGGATCATAAATATATAAGCAATTAAACAACATCTTACATTTATTTTCACACAATACGTCTCCTTGCAGTATCAACACTAATTCGGCTGACTTTTATATTTGATCCAATTGGTAGATAGGCTGTATTTACACCATAACCGTGCAGAGCTGATAGAAAGGGACACCTGGTGGTCAAAGCACGTTATTGAATTGTATTATTTTATTATTAGATATTAATAGGATCTCTATAAACATAAACACCAAATCCCAGCATGCATTGCGGATAACCATCCAATCATCGAGCTGAGGATCTTGCCTACGTCTGTTTCCGGTTTCGTTTAATGACCGATGTATTTTGTTATACACACATTCCTTCACATTTACATTTTAATGTGCATTAAAGTATTTCGTGAGGCCTTCTAACATGTTTTTAAATATAACTACGGTTGTAGTTGAATAGTTCGTAAATGAACATGAACCGAAGCTGTTGCTTGGCAACTCAATCGCACAACGTCACGTCCGTTAATTCCACATCCACACGCATGGATTAACATCGATTTAATACATTAATGTAGCCTTTGTTTATGCTAAAAGAGGTGTCGACCAGCTGGGGCAACAAGAAAATCGCTGTAATCGAGTGTGACTATTAACAAATAAATCATTACGTCGGGGTAGCATTTGCTTGGTATTTCCGGTTATTTCTCCACTGGTTAACATGGGTTAACAATACCGTGTAGCTGTCACGCTTTTCACGTTTTGAAAAGACGAAACCGTGACATCTTCACGTCTCCCAGCAATGGTAAAGCGTCACATGTTCACGTCTCACCGTGATACCGGGTTGGACAATACATGTGTTCTGTCCCCCTGTTCTGTTACGGAGCAGCAGACACACTTCAGCCCGCTGACAGCACACAGCCTGACTCTGTGGTGCTGCATAGCTCAGCACAGCTGTCTGTTGTCCGTTTCTTCCGATCTCTATCTCTTCCTGCCTCAGTTCCAGCTTTGTGCCCACTCAGCATGATAATGACATACACCTCTGCCCGGTCATCTTTTTGAAACTCTGGTCTCCTGACACAACTCAAACTACAACAACAAAGGCAAAATACAGGATGTATCTATACTTCTAGTAATATGAAGCTTTAATGTAGGTACTATATGAGGAGAGTCTGATCAGGTGTAACTTTAAAGCCGGCCTGGAAATACTTGTCCTGTACTTGAGGCGGTGTGAATCCCCAATCTTCAGCTTTTACCGTGTTAACAGTAGGCCTAAATCATAAAGAGCTTCATCCACCAGGACCTTGGTTTACAATAAACAGTGAGAGCTCCCTCTATGGGGCAGTATCTTTAAAGGGGCAAGCTAAGATTACTTGTGTCAGCATTTCAGCTGAACACTGGCACAGTGTTGACATGCAGCAGATGAATATTAAACATTGAGAAACCAAGATGTGCTTGAAGCAAAATCCTACATAAATATTTTTCATGTGTACACACACACAGACGCTCACACAATCTTGAGCGTCCCTCCCAGCAGGCACAATCACACTCAGGCAGATAATTCAGTGTCACAGGGAGCCTTCTCTTTGACCCTCTGGCCCCCTCCAGACAGAGGAGGCAGCTGGACAGGGACCCACGGCTGCCGGGGACTCACTTCCCCTGGGGAGCTCTGAGGAGAAGAGTCCTTCTCTGCCTTGGAGAATGACCAGCTGAGCTTCCACAGCTCAGTATGTGAATGTGCAGTTATGTTTCTGTTTCCAAGAGGGGCTGAGCAGGCTTTAAAATGAGGATGTAGAGCAGGCCTTTTTGCGAGATTAAGCAGACTGGAGAAAAATATAATATCACAACCATCTTAATTTGTAACTCTTGGTCAGAAGTTGTTGCTTTCACTAAGTCACTATGCGTTGCACCAGGGCTAGCTCCCTATTGAGAAAATAGTTTTAACCTGCTTTTTAGAGGTGGAAACTTTTTGTTCATTTATTTTAGCTTTAGCTTATTTATTATTTCAGATACAAAACACGAGACCTACATCTACAGTAATGTTTACTTCTTACTGCCTCATTAACTCTTTGTCATGCACATGCACTCCTCTTAAAATCCTGTAAGAAACCTGGTTAAACTTTGATATGACTGAGAAGTTTGGTTTCACTGGCAGCAATCTAACTACCAGTTTCTTTTTAGCCCTTTACCTCAACAAGATAAAACCACATTTACATGATGTTTGGTTACTACAGGAAGCTGATAATAATGCTGTGTCTTAAGTGCATGTTGAATACTGGTTGTAGGACTGGTTTGGTTCCACAGACACACGCGCTGTTTCCAGTGGTGAGTGAGGCCCTTACTAAGTGCTTATTAATATTGTATGGTTAAATGGGAAATGTTAAAACATTTTCAATTGCCTTGGCAGCCTTATGAAATATTAAATGATATGAGAGCTTTTGTTTTACCATAATACTAAGAAAGGGTAAACATGAAATTAATAATATCTTTTTAAAAGCATGACTTTCCTTTGGTCATAGTTTATAGATTGAGACAGCTATCCTTGTTTAAAGCAATTGTTCAGTTGTCCTGTAAATAGTTGTTTGGGTGCATTTCAGAGCAAATTAAATTAAACAGTTAAATTCAGCAATAAGTACCCATCCCATCATATTTATATTGAAAACGTTGAATTATTTTTGTCTTATTACTGAATGAGCACGATATCCAACATTAATCTTGTGCTGCCCATTTTCTGCCATTAGCAGTTCCTCAGAGACGCAGCTGTATTGGCTGCTCACGCAATGCCGTTTTTTATAGTATAGTGCTGCACATCCAGCACAATGTAAGCCCCAGATGACAAGGCCTTATCACCAAAACAATTATCTAAAGATGAAGCAAGTATAAGGTATGATTGCATGATGTTTTAACCCTTTAAAATACTGAGTACCAAAAGAATAACTACCTTTTAAAATATGCATTTATATAAATATCAGCTTTATTCAAAATGGTTGAAAACAAAGTGAATGAGTCAGTCTGAGTCACTCCGGGCTTTAATGATCCGTCTGGTTGGGCTTTCACTGAGGCTCCCAAAACTATGCAGTGGCCAGAGCTGTATGGGACAAAGGTTACAGAGAAACAATGGGTTAAAAAAAAGAGTGATTACACTCACAAAATTACATAAATGACTCCTTAGCATCATGTGCAACACTTTATCTCCCTTTTTAGACACATTTGCTAATATGCCTTTTAATAATTTGTTTGACTTCGTAGAAGATCTTGTTATTTCATCAGCTGTCGTTATAGGGCCTCCAGTAGAGTGCCGCTGTCCAATCAGAGGGACAGAAGGTTGGCTGACCTGTTTCCAGGGTCGTGGTTGCTATGACATCCAGTGACATGACAACACAGCAGAATGGAAAGCTAGACAATATGTTGTCCAGGCTTTGGTCAATCAGACACACTTGCTTTGAACTTCCAACTGACTCACGTCTCTCAATTGTGCTTAAATATGGCCATACTGCACTAATGAAAAACCAAATGAAGAAAAAAAAGGAGCTCAACACCTAGCACTGTTAGACCCCATTATTGAAAGATTTAATCAAACTATTTTCCTCATTATGAAGAACAATTGTTTTTTAATACAAAATAAATACATCACAACATGCATTTCACAACCCCAGTTACCTTTAGGCAAACACGCCCTCGGATCAGGGCATAGGGAATTGGGCCATAGCTCCTTGAGTCAGAGGAGTTCCTCAGGTTATCCCCTTCTAGCCATACATGGCCTTTTGGAACCTAAAAACATCACCACACACATGGAAAGAGGACAAACATAAACATGTGGACTGTTTCACCCCACAAATATTTTTGTTGCAGCACTACTTAACTTTAACACGAAAAAGTCAGTTAATCCATTATGCAGTGAGAATCTACCTTAACCCCACCCCCTACGCCTCGGCCGGCCCTGCCTCCTCAGCCAATCTTAACGTCAAACCTGCCTGTCCCTCTTTAACCCCGAACCGTCTTAGGAGAGGGGTCATGGGTAACGGGCAGGGTCGGGGGGGATTTAGAAGAACTTCAAACGGGGTCATTAGGCTGTTGGCTGAGATCTGCGCCCCTCTTACCCAGGGAGGGCAGAGCAGGAGAGGGGCCTGAGATAGCTGGGCAGAGAGAGAGAGGGAAACAGGGAGACGGAGAGGGCTAAGCCTCGGCTAGCAGCAGTGTCCAAGGGTCTCCACCGCGCTCTGACCTGCCAGTGGGGCGCTCATCCAAGCGGGCTCTAATTCACAGTGACACCAATTATGATTAATCTCATCACTTTAGGAGAGTAGGCTTGTCAAGGCCCTAATTAAGTGCGCTGTCCCCCCTATATGTGCAGACAGGATCAACAACACATTATATTGTCATAATGGGCATCACAATCCACGAGTCTATTTTTGTGTTGCCTAACTTTTTAACAGCAAAAGTCTTCTGCAGTAGAGAATAACATGAATAAGGAAAAATAATAATATCCACACTGAGGTGAAGTCACATCTTCGCATCTGCTCGTATCTCTCAGTCCCATCACCCTGCTCTCTGATTAAAGTCTTCAGTCCTACTGTGGGATGCTGCGTTTTGTTTCATATTCGATAATTGAGACAGATGATGTGACATAATCACGAGCCATTGACATGTTGACCTAACACGAGGTAAACAACTCACTGAATAACGACGACACAAATGAATATCATTAAAGGAGTCATCTGAGAACCATATGTCAGCATGCTGGATTCCCACCATTACACCTCATTAACATGGTAACATATGCTGGCTCCCAAGCACAGGAAAAAGAAACACCACGGTTTGTCATCTGTCAAACCAGAACCCCCCCATTTCTCTGCATCTTCTATTAAAAAAAGCTTAATCTTTCTTGTACTTATCCTTAAGACATGGAGCTTTGATTAAGACATTTCAAGCTGCAGCACTTTTTGGAAATGAGGAAACTTTTCTTAGTGACTGTCAACATCTCTTCCACTTAAGGATCAAGCTTCAGTAAGACCTCTGTGGCGATCGATCAATACGATTGGCACCAGCTGAAATAACCGGTTTGATTTTGAGCCCCGTCAAACAAATGACCCTAAAGAGAAATCCAAGCATAAATAAAGAGAAAAGTACTTTAAGGATCAACGAAGCAGTATTTCAGAAAAGTGAAAAAGTCTGAAACTTGATCTGCTGTACTGTGGGCAGCACGAGGAGAAAAGCTTATGCATATCACCTTGCAAGTCGCAGGTGTGTGAATGAGGGGGGACAAAAAATAGTAAGTCAAAAGGTTAGGCTCTGAATTAAAGCTAGGTTAATGCAGAACAGCGGTGTAACTAAATAATGCCCCATCCTTGACTCTTCTTTTCAAAGACAATTGCCGTTTCAAGCACCTGTAAATGACCACAAAGCCACGAGCCTCATTAAAGTTTCTATGCACGTCCGTTGGGTTTGTGAAGCTTCTCTGCAGACAGGGTGGAATGGAGATACCTCAATCATTCATTAGTTTAGCCATATAGTTATATCGTTTTTAGACGCAGAGTCACTTTGATCAACCCTGCCGGCGGCTCTGGTGTGATGGACGGCAGAGATTGCCCTCGTCCTGCAGTTGTAAGCTAGGTCAAAGCGAGGCATTGTGTACCTGTCAAGGACGTGTCGAGAGGCACTGAAACTAGAGCTCTCCTTGCTGCGAAGGTGTGTTGTTTAACAGCCACACCATTACAGTGCTCATTACGTTAACATGATTGAGGTAGTGAACTATGTTTAGCTTAAACACACACAGGCTTATAGAGATCATCTTTTACTATATCTCTCCGTCTATCTTTACTGCAAATAACATAACGTATGGGGACATTTCATCTCCCCCTCTGTCCCCCCTCTCTCCCTCGCTTTGCTATAATATTTAGGATCAAGTGTCATTGTTTTGACACAATAGCTCAGACACAGAAATGATTCCTAAAAGGTGACAGGGCAATTAGTCGGCTGTTGGATCTCTGAGGGAGGAGAGGACCTGCCTGTCTGTTAGGACAAAAAAGGAGGTGATGACAGGGTCTAACATTGGCTTCCAAAATCCATCTTTACAGGTCCAACCCTAATGCCAAACACCATCCTAATAGTCACAGACAAAACATACATCCTCTGGGGAAAAAACTCCCTGAGGGAATTCAAACGGGTGTTTTCTCAGCTACCTCCAATGCTGTCACATGAAGCTGATGGTTTTGCTCCTGGGAGATAATGAAATAATTGTACATAGGAAAGCTTATTATGCTTTAAAATAAAAAGAAGCTCAGTGACAATCAGCTTTGTGAAGGGTTATTTTAAGCTTCCTCCATTGTTTGTGATGCTCACAACTGTAAGACTTTAGAATAACATTAGCTATGCAGGTGTGCCTTTTCAGTTCAATTATTGTTTTAATCAATTCTGGCCACTATTAAAAGCATGACGTTTTGTCCAGTCTGGGAAAAATACTTCCTTTGACTTTTGCTGAGATTCTGGATGTCCAAAAATGACCATGTTCTTTATGCGAGCTCCGAAAGCTTCAACATCATGATTGTTAAAGAGGTTGCCCACAGTATCATCTCTGCTATCAGTGCTATTGGGGACACATTGGAGCTTGTATTTAGTGTGACTACCCCTCACAGACCCAATGAGATGGTTAGTCAGGCTGGCCAAATGATAAAACCATTTATGTGCAAGACAAGTTTTGTGTGCACTGTAGATAAATTACAACTTTAGTAGCTGTGCACCTAGTGGGAAACTTAAAAATGACTCAAACTGGACCGTCATTTCATCCTGGGATCACAAGTGAAAACCCAATGATGTCACCTGTTACAAGTCCGCTCCTGTGTATGTGGGGTTGGGGATGAAGCTAGTAGAAGAAGAAACCTCTTTATTCCTCATTTCATTTGTTGAATGACACTTGCAGGCTTGGCCTTATGCTATGTTTTTTTTCTGAACTCATTCAACAGCCTGCCCATACTATAAAATACGCAATAAATTCAAAAACATTCAACGCAACCTTTGCTTTGCCGACGTATGCACACACACACGCACAAGCACACACACATACACACACCTCCGCCCACCCATCAGTCTGTCCGTTCGGCTGGCACTAACTCTAACAGGCTTCAGAGAGATTGCAGGCCTGAGCTGTGGGCGTTGGGGAGAGTAGTAATAGAAAAGCAATGACAGTGGTTTCAGCAGCAGAACCCCTGCTCACTCTGTGGTTTTATCACTGTTCTGAGGAAATATAGGTGTTGTCAAAAGCTGATATTTTGACCAATGACACAAAATGGATGTGTGCCGTCTAAAATGTAAACAACTATGATAGTCTATAGATTGTGGTACACACACACACAAAGACAACCAAAGACAAAGTGAGAGACGATTTTGCATTTATGCATAGATATTGTGTCATTTTAGGATGAAACAAGTATTTTATTGTAAACACATTCTTTAGTCATGCTCCCTTTTACTGTTTTATTTTAACATTTTCTTCTTCAAAATAGAAAGATGCTTATCAGGAAAAGTATAAGAAAAGCGTCTGGAAATCATGACAAAGATGTAAACATACTCACATATGTGTGGGCCTTGAACAGATCTGATGGGGAACTTGTGCAGACCTTGTCACCCTCCAGTCCAGTTACCCTTTTACAAATGTTCATGTTAGGGTCAAATGGACTCTTTGCAATAATGATATCACCCCTGAAAAGAAAACACAAATCAATTAATTTGTAACACCTCAGTGTGCAGTAATTCACAAAAATAAAGCAAAAATATCTTGCTTTATCTATGATGTATATTTGTAAAAGAAAAAATGCTGCCATATTTTCCTAACTCCTCTAAGAAACAAAAAAGGAAATACAATTAGAATTTCAAATCGTGCAGGTAGAAAATATAATTTGTAAATGTCTCTTCATATTCCGGCATTTGCCCAATGCATATGAATCCATTGACTGGAACTCACTTCTGTATTTTGCATTGCTGACGACTCATCCGTTCAGAGAACACAATATCATGGTTGACGATGGTTGGCTCCATGGATGGACCAGAACACTGAAGAAGAAATACATCGTTTTTTTTTTTGTGCATAGATTTGTTGACAGGATTTGAGAAAAAAAATAACGGCCTGGACATTATTTCTGTAACATTAATCTACGAACCACCACAAATTCTCCAATGTATTCGAAGGCACAATGTGCAATGCAGCCATACTGGACTGTGTAGCCCACAAAGCCCAAGGTCTTTCCCAGCACACTGCGGAACATCTCCACCTGCAAAACAAAACACAACCAGAGGTTATAACACAATGTCAGAGTACATTGTTATCATGCTATACAATAGGGGTTACACGTTATGACATGCAATAAACACATTTTCTGCGATATTTAGCCTGATGTTTTACAGTTCTCTTTATAATGAACTCTTCCTTTCTGCTTGTTTTTCAGTATCCAGATAAAATAAAAATATTGCCAGTGTTTCCTCTAGGATGGAGTCATAGCAGCGGTGCTAAGGCACGCGGGCCCAGCTAAATGTGAGCGCGGAGCCGCCGCTATTTGTATATAGGGGATATACTGATATAGATGTATTATTTCATTACATTCTTTAATGAAACACAAAAGGTACCAATAATAATAGAATGATAGTTACATTTTAAAGTGCAGTTTTTTCTACTGATACTCTCCTTAAAATCAATATATTGTGGAGCCCTATTAAACATACAGTGGTGAGTAAAGGGCTTAGTTTCTGATCCATATATGGTAGGCTTATGTCTTTTACAAGATTACTAAAACAAAAGTTGTTTTGGGTTTAATTCTTAAAAAGGTGTGGACAAGGTTGTCACAGTTGGCCTACTGCTAAGATGGCACATTCCCTGGTGTTTCATTCTCAGAGGCTGAGCGGCCGGTTCACACCCGAAAACTGCGCTGAACTTTGCTCCTGTGTAGGATGGACCAATCGACACCTTGCGCTCAGGTGATGGACAAACACGGAGGCTGTGACACATCCAGCCTAGCTCCACACTGTCTGCAACCAGCTGCTGACACCGGGCTGCCTCCACTACCACCACAATCATTAGAGCAGTTATCAACTTCTGTCAGCACCATAGAAACACAGAGACACCCCCAGCAGCACCCGTCCGCCCGCCCTGCAAACACTCTGTCACACACACAAGGACCGTGTGTCTTCTGAGCAAACATCCCAGCCACACTCAGGTTATTGACTTTTACTCAAGCTGCAACCTGTTGTTCGGAGAGAAGAAAGTAAGTCAATCTTTACACACTGCCATGCTCAGTGTGTACGCTGGCTCACCTGCACACACACACATGCAAATACACAAACAGATTGAAACTGTATGTTTTTGAGAAGAATAGATAAAGCTCGGTTTAGTCTGCACTTCAAACATTTTATAGTTCAGGCCGCCGTCCTGCCAGTCCGCCACAGGGTAAAGAAATATTTTCCTCCGTCTCCCTTATTCCTTCTGTCTCTTTCCTTCTTTCTCTCTCCATGTCTTCTCTCCCTCCCAGGGTATTATTAACAAAAGCAAGTAGAGCGGAAACCAAAGCCCCAAATCCTCAGAGCTCTGGGAATGACTTCCCAAAGATGGACACGGATTAGACCCCCAATTTCTCCCTTGCCCCACCACCTCCACCCCCCCTTTCTCCCCAGGTCCCCAACAGACCGGGTGTCAGGTGGCTCTCCCAGCCCTGCCAAAGGTGTTACTCCTAATCCCATTACCCCCCTCTGCTTTTCTCACACACAAATACAAAACACACACACAATGCTCTCTCATTCATGCCAACTATATTCCACCTATTAAACCCTCTATCTATTCGTTCATCCCTAGCATGGTTTGTCTCTTTGGCCCATTCACCATCCTCTCTGATCCAAAAAAGACCAACTTCATCCTTTCACCTCCCTGCGTGCTGCCTTTCCACTCTTCCCACTTTTCCTTGATCACCCCTGGCAACCCTGAATAACAGGTGAAGAGGGACATATATGCGCTCAGCACAGGGCCCAAATGAGGTGCCCCTTTCCAGTCAGATTCTGCTCTCTGGTTCCTTTCCACTGGAACTATAAACTCAGTCCTACCACAGCTGGTACAACGACACCCCTGGCCCTATAATTCCTCGGTAGGGAAGCGAGTGGTCTAAAGGTTAATGTGAATCTCTAGGTCTGCACTAAGGTGACATGTTCAACTCTATTTGTCTTGCCCTCAGCATCCTCCAGTAGCATCTCTGTCATTGCAGTAAAGTACTCTCAGACATGATCTCACATGTGCTCTTCCTTCTGCTAGGCTGGGGATCAGGAATCTTTGCTAGCACTTATTCGCAGAGCACAGTGGACGCCAGCCTCCCTTACAGCTGCCCTCATATCTCTGTTTCAGCTCCCCCTCCATTCCAGCCTGCATTCATCATAGGTAGGGATTAAGGGACTTTGCATAACAAGATCACACGGCCAGTGACTGATATCAAGAGAGTCCATATGCAGCCGCCTGGTTTTCTGAGGCACCCTCTGTCATTGATAGTGTGCGCTTGTGTGTGTGCGCATGTGGTGTGACTGTGCACAGACAAAAGCATTACCTATGTGTTTCATAGGAAGTGTATTTGAGCCGCAGTGACTCCTTTGGGATTCAGAATAAGGTGGACATCCACAGAGACTTCTGATTAGATCTCTATTACCTCTAACTCCCCAGGGCAAAGAGTCAGACAACCCACACTATCTCTTGCCCCTAATACCCAGCCCATGTGTGTGCTGGGGAGCACCAATATTAATCGAATGCTGTATTACAGCTGTGAATTAACACAAAGTCTCTCTGTTAATCCAGGATTACACACCAAACATGTTCATTGGAAAACAAAGAAAGTCAGCGCAGCCCCCTCTGCAGAACCATCTGTGGCCACCGGCCTCCCGTGGTCACAGCACAGCGCTACAGTGGGGAAAAGAGGGGGATCCCAAATGAATAGCTGTGGATAGAAACACTTCATTGTGTGTTTAACTCTGTGATCCTCTTACTGGGGGAGCCCACAAGTAGATACATTCTTTTTTTTTGCCAATACCAACTATGAGGAATCATAAAGTGCAGCAATAACAGGGATGCCTATTAATGTGTCCACCGAGCTGTCAAAAGCATTTTAAATGTAGAATTAGAGACACTACACAAATAAAATGTAAACAAAGGCATGTTTCTGCCATCTGTGTTGACATTAATGAAGACGCTTTGACAGACAAAACCACTAGAAAATAGAAGCTGTCTCTCAAAAGTTAAGAAGTGTTGGACAAGTTGTTATTGTCCTTTCATAACATCAAATGTGATGCATTATCAGGATGTAAACAATCAAATGCCCCATGAAAATATCCCAATTTACTTTAATGGTTGTGATTCAAAGATAAAGATACTCTTGGTAATTTCATTATATATATTATATTTAACTTTATAAAAATGGCACTTGTGTATTGGGGAAAAAAAGCGTTCATATCTTCATAAAAACGTTAACTTTCTTTTTTCCGTTGAAGTTATACAGCCAATTATTTTGGGTTTTGCCAAGTGTCGTTGAAATACCTTAGTGCAAACTAAGCTAACGTAGAGAAGGTGAAGTCAATAACAGCATATCAACATTGATACCTGATTAAACATGCATCATTGAAGCCATAAGGAAATATTCATAAAGGAATTACCGCTACTGGTCTCAAGAGATTTGAACCTGCCACTGGCTGAGGAGTGTTAATTGAAAAACATGGCCAGTCTATTAGAGTCACAAAGAGAATCCCAATCCAAACATCACATAAGGGCCTTGCAGTGGACTCCTTACACAACTAAATTAGGAAAACATGGGCTGAGAGAGAGCTGGCCAACAGGGGGGCTAAGAGGCTTACAAGCCCCTTGTCAGATATTCTTTTTCTCCCTGAGGATCCCAGATGGAAGGGAGTCTGGAGGAGCAGGCAGCACCAGAGAGGGGACCAATCCCACCTCTGATGTCTTCCTCTGGGCAGCAGAAGGCAGAGGAGGGTGGGGCATTAGTCCTGTTGCGCAGAGCTTGATTTGATCTTAATGTGATCTATAAAAAGGAGGAGGTTTGGCAACCAGGGGGGTCTGTTTCAACTATCAGTCCAATCAGAGATAATCCTGCTGGTTTAGACACAGACACCTGGCAAGATGGAGAGTGACAGATGTAAAAGTCCCAGTCACAGAGTACCATGTCTAGCCCCCATCTCCTTTAGGTCTGCCTTCTACCAGAAGCTTTATTGAAGCAACTGATCTCCATATTGCTCTTTTCATTGTTGCTAACGGCAACATAGCCGTGAAACAGCTGAGCGAGGTTACTATTTGAGGAGCTGAGGGTTTAAACCTACAATCAATGGGTCAGACAAAGCAAATAATAGCCAAGTGATATGAATACAACTGCTATGAATTGAAAGGAAGTGTGGGTTGACAGAGTCCCCAGCCAATTACATAGAATGGAAAAATCAGCAACTAAGCCTTATTGTATTGACCAAAGCGAATGCATGTTGCTGGCCTGGTGCTGAGAGAATTGAGAGATCTTATCATGTGTTGTATCAGATTCACAAAGGAGTTTGTCTTTTGCACTTGCCTGTTCACAACAATGCCCCACATATATTTGACAATAGCTAGTGACAGATACCTCAACCTTTAGGCAAACCTAGGATTTTTAAGAATGGGATTTCCTTTAATTCTAAATGAATGACTTTCTCTTTATTGTCATTTTATTTTCTATCCTATAAGTCAAACTAAATATGGCTTGCTGTATTTCATGCCATATTAGCAACAAATCTAAATACAGCTTTTTTTCAAAACAGGGGATGTTGAATAAATGGAAAAATCCTTTGACAACATCAGGTGGGTACAAAACCCATCCTATGCTTATTGTACTTGAGTCCTTAGAATATTACTTTACTTTTGTGGCTAAAATAACAAATATGTTGCATGTTGATGATAATCTTGCATCCTACGGATGCAAGAAGTGTACTGCTTCTCGCAGTTCCACACTGATGGCAGAATTACACTGAAGAAACCAAAACAATCTGACCAGGAACAGTCTGACATGTTATGACTGCTGCCATTATATAGCTCAATCAGATACAGAGACTGATAAAACGGACAAAAACACTGCAGAAAAAACACCAACATGCACAGATTACATATTTAAAAAGGGGGGAAATGATGTTATTTTTCTACAATTAGGCTGCAGTATTTACACTAACACACAGGATTGTGCTACAGAGCCATGGGTTAAATTGGGATTCGAGACAATTGGAAATGAGGTGACTGGCACTGTGCAGAGGATGTGGAGAAAGTTTCCACAGAAATGTACTACATCCTGCACGTTGCACTGCTAAAGCCAGCTCTCCTCTGTCTGAGATAGTCTCGCATTTTATTTGTCTCGTATAGGCTTTCCACAATGCTCAGTGTTGTCAGTCATGATACATTCCCTTGGTCTCCTGTCAGCACATATAAATCTCAACAGTGCTGTCAAAACAGCAGGACTGCCTCTGCTGAGAGCATTTGTAAAGTGAGCAGTTGGGCTATTGCCTCCTCGGGAGCCTTACACTGTCCTGTGATCTTGTGCTGCCTCTGGCCTATCTCAGCCACAAAAACGTTTTTTACAGCTGCCTTAAGGATTACACTGATCACTCATCACTCAGCTAGTATTAATAGTGGACATCATACACAATGAATGGTCCTTTTCCCCTGTCAGCGGTTTGCCAGATCTGACAAACTGAGTATCTGAGTATTCTTAAAATATTAAAAATAAGTTTCCCTGATCAGTAGGCATTTCTCACATCAGACATTTTGAGTTGTCATATTAGGAAAGAGATAATGAAAATGATGATATTGGAGTTTGAAAATGGCTGGAATAGATCCATGATTCATTTAATTATTTACCCTCCCATAACCTACTATGATATTTGAAAATGCCTGTTAGCAGCAGAGTGCTGCATTATAATCCATACTTTAGCCCTACACCTCTCTTACAAAAACATGAATAAGCTCAAAGTATTTTAGTTTTTGTTCATTTTGGAGACTTAGCCATACAAAAGAGTAGTAGTATTTAAAATAGATTATACAGTTAATACTTGGTTGTGTGTTGTAATCATGTAGGCTTGAATGTGAAAGTAACTAGGACATTTTAAATGTCAAAGAAGAGACAAAACACACAATAAACAAAGTTAAGATGAATGAGTATTGAATACAAGTAAATTAGTTGTGTAGTGAAAACCTTACTCTGATAGCTCTACACAGAAGATACCTAATATCAATTTACATGGAACTGCTACCAGGCACATATAGATGTTATATCTATGTCTTGCTGTTGAACTAAATCAGTTTAATATTTGCACAAACTGTAAATCATAAATGCAAAACGTTGTTTAAAAAGTCGACTTTCTGGTAGTTATGGCTGCTTTAGGTGTGAGCTATGCAAGTCATTTACATATTGCTGTGTGTTTTTAAAACACTCAGATATTCTCCTTGTCACTAACAGTTTTTGTTTTCAGAACATTTAAGACACGTAAGGCAAGCCATTCTGCAACGAAGCAATTCAGTGTACGGCTGATTCCTGCATAATGAACATAATGGCCCATTCATGAATGTGTAGTATGTTTTACATCTACCATAAGTCGATTGAATATTGTGCCAGCTTGTTCTTATTTAATACATTAACATACAGTTAAATTGAAGTTATGTATACTCAGGCTGTTGTACAAGAGATGGGCTGTGACTGTAAAATAAGGGGCTGCTTCTGTAAAACAGTTTTCAGGTTCTGTAATGTAATGAAATTAGCCAACAAGGTCAAAGCGACACACAGTCTTGAGGTGACTCTTTAGGCACGGAATAGCGGCGGGCCATTGTAAAGAGCGCATAAGATGACACTTATGTGAACAAAATAAAAAATATAAGAAGTGACTTTAGCTTTACTTACCTACTGACTTAGTGTTTCAATGCTCCGACCATTCATTTACCACAACAACTTGAAAAATAACGTCCGTCAAACCTCTCACATGGCCCCACAACAATCTTTGCCCTCATTGGTCAAGCGCCACTAAAGTCTTCGGTGATTGGATAACACGTTCCAAAACATAAACAGGCGTCACCACGTTATAAACAGTATGGCTGCCCCCATGAGCAGTGTGGGTAAACCCTCAGCTGAACGATCACCGTTCAATAATACGAGTTTTCAGAAGAAAACAAGAAGCAAGTTAATCTCCATACCTGGTACCAGACCCTCGGTTCAAAATGGACAGCTCTTAGTCTCCACCGGTGTCACGTCACTCGACTATCTGCTCGGTCAGTCTGATGTTAGCATTTGCGCTAGCTACAAAGGCTAATGTTAACTGTGCTTCTCTATGTAACGTTAGCTAAACCCTGAAGTTCAGCCTGCTAAAAAATAGTCGTATTACTTTATCAAAAGGGGAATGTATGATTCACACATAATATGGAGTTTTGTCACTGTCAGGGCCTTACAACCTGTCCAGAATTCAGTGAAATGCAATTTTAGCAGATACTATGTATACTTAAGGCACATTTAGTTGGAATCTGTTCACAAACCACTATAATATTTGTGTTAAATTGAATGTAAGGGTATTTCATTGAATTCTACATAATCAGTCATTTTACATTTTATTTTTTGACTATGTTTAGATCCTAAATACGACTTAAAAGACAGGATTGTTTCTTGTAACAGAGCACTTTTTAAACTCTGGCAGTGCTACATTTACTACATTGTAAAATGTATTTTTCCATATGCTGATGCCAAAAATGCAGAAGCTTTAAGCTCTAAAAGACCCAACAAACGGTATTATCCTTATTCTATCTCAACGCACAACTACAAACCTATATCAAAACTAGACCCACATTAGCAGAGTGATCAACAAGTCATAATGCCTAAGAGTGATTAGGAGGAGTTTATCTGTATAAATGAAACAGTGTACCAATAATAGGATGCTAATATTGTAAGAGGAACATCACTGCTGTTGTTTCTAAAGTAATTTGACTTAAAAGTATGTGATCTTTAAATAAGGTACACAAAAACTATTCCTATCCTCACTTTGGTTTTTAATCTTGAAGCCTGGATGGGTATAAATCTCTCTCTCTCTCTTTATATATATTTAGCCATATTTAAAGCAATACATCACAAGTCTCTTAACTTTTTATGGCGTATTTCCCCGTTATATAAAATAAATAAATCTTGCAAGTTAAGGTAATTGTTAGTCAGGACATTTTAATGAAATATTTAGAATGTTTGTGTTATATCTGAAAAGGGAAACTATTCTCTTCTTGTGCATTTTGTATAACTTATGTTAGGATTTCTGACAGAAATGTAACAATGCTTTACTAGAATCATTGTGACCTGCCTATTTGTTGTTGTTGTTGACATAAATAGCATTTTATTTGATCAATGTTATAGTTATTTTATATAACATGATGCAAAATGTGCATCTCAACAGCTGACTCTTTTTACTCTTAGCCTTAACCTTTTGAGGCCATTTTTGTTTTGATATTACCAGCCTGTACAATATCAAGCAGGACCAATTAGCAATGTGGGTTAATTAAACATAGAAAACATTTCCTGTGGATGTATTGTTTTAAGCCTATAAAGTGATCAAGGACTGTCCTGAAATGCTCTTAGTTTAGCAAAGGTCGTTTTTTAATGTAGCTAATACAACTCTTTCCATAACTGTGTGAAAGCCAAATGTCAGCTGTCTCTTCAGATGCTCACTTCTCCAATTGGCCATTTCCACAGTAGGCATTTTGACATGTCACAGTAGGAGAGGCATACGTGTAAATAAGGCAAGGCAAGTTTATTTATATAGCACCTTTCAACACAAGGCAATTCAAGGTGCTTTACAACAATGAAAGACATTCAGACAAAGGCATTAAAAAGAAAAGATAATAAAATAAACATTAAAAGAATAACACAATTAATGATGGCCACATTCTTTTTATCTGCTTCAGTTTCAAGGTCCTGTTGTCATGCTCATTGTCACAGCTTAATTGGACACTTGAATATAACACAGCCTTTATTACTGTTATTATAAACATCTGTGCTTTTCCTACTATGACAAGTCAAAAATGCCTGCTGTGAAAAATGGCTCTTTTCTTATAAAGATAAATCCACAGCTGTGAAGACATGAGGGGAGAGTGAAGGAAGCAGCAGTTAGCCAAAGGGCGGCTCAAAGTGGTTCACATTGATCCAGTGCTTGTAATATGTGACTGATATAATTAAAAATACAATTTCCTTTCTTTTTACAGGTGGCGGGTTAGCAGTTGGAACAGTACTTCTCATAGGTGAGCCTGCGTGAGAAATTGAACAATAATTTAAAGATCCTAATTAATGGAATGATGACTTTCTTAATCAAGCAATAGGTCACACAGGCCATGGTATGTTGTGAATATGTCACAGCTAAGGGGGGTGTTGCTGGATTTCACTGTCCAATTTGTTTGCTTCAAAGTGTTATTTTATTTGTTCTCTTTACGTAGCTGTGCATGTTGTTTAGAAGGTGTTTTTTCTGGCAATGGGCTCTGCTCTATTGTGTAGCAGGTTGTTTATAGGCTATCTGACACAGCCTTTGAGTGTATGGGACTCCATGGTACACAGTAGTCTTTTCCTGAACGTTATTAAGCATTTTCTTGTCTGGAGGCTTCATGAATAAGTTGAATGTTTTGAATGATTATCATAATCCTTAGGTGAACATTTTAATACCTAAAGCCATGTCCTTTTTGTTGCTCTCAACCGAACAATGAAAAACAAATTTGAAATGAATTACTGTTACAGTAAATGAAGATACCTTGGTAGACGTAAGTGCATTGGTGTTGAGAATCATCCATTATCTACTCTATTTAATACTCAATCCCAGAAAGATGCAAGAGTGCTATTCTTTTTCTGGAGCATTATAGCCTTCAGCTTTTTAGCAACTCTCTCAATAAAGAACCTGTGTAGATAAATTACACCCATAATTATAAATATGTTATATTCATGTCAAGCCAAACATCAAAACAGAATTCAATAGCACTTTTTAGCATGCCACAGCTAATGATACTGCCTTTCTGTTCTCAGGCTCTTTGTGGTTAGTGTGTCACTGTCTATCAGAGTGGTAAATATTGTAATAACCTGAAGGTCTCTAGCTAGAATCCCAGGTGTTCATACGCACACTGTGATCCTTAATTGATATGCTCATCTACAGATGTTATGTAGAAGTTTTCGGAAGTACATTCAAAGCAAGTGGGTTTTCTAGACACATAAATGTCTTCCACTGTATTATTATTATTATTATCATTCATCATAGGCTAGGCTATATGCACTGGCAGACAGTAAGGTTAAGGTATTCTTGTTTTCCCTTGAAGCTGTAATTTGTGTGTAGCAAAGGCCTATACCAACTGATGATATTGCTTTGCCCTTTAATTCACCCCCCCAATCGATGCAGGAGGAGTGATTATACACTAATGCGTTCTTCCCTTCCATTTTGGGAATCAATGCACGGTTGGTTTCATCTGGTAATGAGAGACACAGTAAAGGTGAAATGCGTGTGTGAGCTCTCTGTTTGTGTCTCTGAAAGCGCAGTGTGTGTGGACAGTATGCTGTCTGTGTTGTTGTGTTTTTTGAATGGGTGTGATGGGGCGGGGGGTAGTTTGGAGTGTGTGTTTGTTTGTGTTTCAGGCAGTCGTCTCCTACAGTCTGCCCCTTTAGCTGTGATGGCCTGTTTGTGAGACACGGACATAAAATTATCAGGCTGGTTGTTGTCGGCTTTGAAGTGTCTTGAACTGTCCTTCCAGATTTGTCAACTCGAGGGGGATCCGCTCAGTATGGGCCCTGTCTGAAGATCTCTCATCTGGTGTTTTTGTAATAGAAGGAACAAAGCTTCTTATTATGTTGACCATGTACGCTTTCATTCCATTAGTTTAAGTTAATGTGTTTTTCCATTAAGGCACCCATAATAATTACTTTTAAATGTGGCCTATTTGTTTTGTGTTTAAATGTTTCAAAGCTGTGAAGTGCACTTTGAATATTAATTAATCTTAGATTTGGGCATATTTATTATTTATGTAGAAAACTCTGACAAATGGTTTGAAAGTAGTTCATCATAATTATAACCCTGACAAAATAAATAGAACTGGTTAGAAAGTAGAATAAATATGTATATAATAACAGGTACAGTGAATGTTACCTACTTTATCATAATTACTAACACTTATGTAAAGGTAAGCTATAAAGAAACCATAACAAAGCATGAACACAATCAGAAAAGATACTAAGACAACTGAAGACATTTAAAGCACAAGTACTGCACATGCAATACAATAAAATGTTTGTAAAAGCAATAACAAAAACAAAACAAGAATAGATACAAGATAATAAGCAACAATGTTCCGACAAAGACAAACAGAGGTCACATGTTGAAGCTTGAAATGTGTCATACATATACAGTTCATCGGTCTCAAGAGATGCGGCTGATTGGTATTTAAGACAGCTTTGTAGTAGTACGTTGTTTTAATTACTTTAAAGATTAAGGGCTTTCTTTATTAATTGTCTAAATTGCATTTACCTGCCGTATGGCCTAAATGAGGCGTTCGGCTTCTCAATAGAAATGATATAGACCGAAGATTCATACAAGGGGGAAATCACCCTGACCTAGATATTTTGTCTCCTCCCCCTGCGGCTTCAGCAGATATGATTCAGGACTCTCGCCTGTTTGAAGGCAAATGAAGCAGAGGCGTTTCCCCCCTCATCCAAACCATCGTCAGAATCTGCCAAAAAGAAAGAAGAAAAAAATCATCCCATGACTGTCTGTCCAGAGTGACTGATCTACCTCAAAGATATGACCGTCCCCCACCCCCTGTTGCTTGTATACCCCGCCACCTCCCGCCCCCTCCCTTACCCCCCGCCTCAACAGCCTAATGACTCCTGGAGGTTCCATTTGTAAGGCTCCCATAGAAACACAGCCACAATAGGCCCCATCTTGAGAGGGCCCATCTGGGAGTCTTTGTGGGGCCTGCTGAAAGCCACAAAGGCCTGCTGACCTAGAAACCCATCAATAAGAGAACAGGGAGCCCCACCGACAACAAATTGAAGAGCCCTGGAATTTCCTGTGCCATCCTAAGTCCGTAGGTGAGGACATAGACCGGGAACGTGGGAGGGGGGAATTCTCCGGATGTTTAAGGATGACACGTCAGGATGTCATTCCCAAGCTGTCAGCTGTATGCCCATTACCTTAAACTGTCAGTGCTGCCTTTGTCCTTGTGCCCACTGTTTGTCATTGTGCGGAAAGGGCTATGAAATCTTTACAAAATGACGATTGTGACAGGAAGCAGCAGCGGCATGCTGGGTAGAGTTATGTGCCCTGTTAGTAGGGGGGTTCATGGTGATGATGCACGCATTTTTTGTGAGTTTGGCTTGTGGAATGACCGGGTGGCCGCTTTGTGTGCACCGAGAAAAGGATACCTTTGGGAAAGTATGTTCATTTTCAGAATCGCTTGTCTGTCCATTTAATGCTTTAATAAGCGCTCCTCTATATGAGCCTGTAAGGTCAGCTCTACAAGATGATACTCTTTCCAACTGTGTTTAAAAGTATATAGGGTAACTTGTCTTTTCTAACCTACTTTCATGATAATAAACACACCTGATGTAAATGTTTGCCAAAACATAATGAAAGGTTGCCATTGCCATCAGAGTTCACACAAAAAGCAGAAAGATTCAACTGAACCAGATGTCGCAAACCATTTTGAAGATAGGAAATATCTTATCCTGCTTCTGCCTCCTCTTGTCAGTTTCCCTCCTAACTGGGCTACCTTTGTGTTCAGGGGGAGGTGTCAGGTGAATGCTTAAGACAGGTGTCTCCCCCTCACCTCCGCTGCGGGTTGGGTTATGATAGGTGAAAGTGGACAGGAATACTGTGAAGACCTTAACAAGAGCATTAAAGATGTCAGCTCCACTCTGATAGTCAGGTCACACAATAACACCCATGTTTCTGTGCCATGTCGATTCCCACTTCATCTCTTCCCTTCAAAAGATAGCTCGAAGTGTGGTCCTTATATCAATTAGGGTTAGCGATTATGATGTGGTCATAAACTTCCGGATCTGTGGTGTCTGAATGAATGTTCAGAATGAGACCAGATCCAATGATAGTTTTGAGAGTGATATATCTTTCTCATAGGGCAGATGTTCTACCTAGTTTATCACCGAATCATGTAGTTAGGCTTTGTTGGCAGTGTTAGAAGTATGACAATGAATGTGTGTTTATTTGAGTTTTCCCACTCACCCTGAATTTGTGTTGTTGTTGTCTTTTGTGTCTTTTATTAGAGGAAGACCGATATGATAGCTACTCTCGTATGATCCTAAAATACTTCCTGGCAGAAGGAGTCGTGTGTCGGCATGAACTTTATGTGGCGGCGGCTCAGGATAACCCAGATGACATCTTACAGGTATGAGAGGTGTCGTCTTTTCTTTAAGCTTACAGGAAGGAAATGATTTATACTTCAAAGTGTGATTTATTTTAAAGCTGCAAGTTTTGACGAACCATCCACCAAGAAACAAGCATGGCCTCAATATGTCTTCTATAACATCATCCCAATAATACATTTTTTGTAAACTTTTGTTTACCTTTTCGTCATCAGAGTTGGTTGGTATGTTCTGTCTGCTTGTATTATGTTATTGTCACAATATATTAATCAATTCCTGCTGTACAGTATTCATCCTGGTTCCTGCTGGTCAGACCATGATTTAAAAGACATTATAGGCGCACAGCTTTCCCCAAGATGTGTCAGGGTCAGCGGGGGTATCTGAGAGGTCGAGGGTGGCATGGTTGTGACATTGTTGAAATGTTTCCCGATGCATCACTCTGTGAAGAGGAACGTCGCCCCAGAAGCTGACTGCCACCCAGCATACAGGAGGAGGGCCTCTCTCCCACTGATTGATAGTGGGAGGGGTCACAGCCTCACCCTCTCTTTACATATCAAAGGCTTATTAAGAGAGGGGACTCCCAAAGGGGATATATCACATCATTTAGTGTTTTCACAGCTACATTCACAGTATGCTAATCTTCAGATGCTGAGGTTGTACTTTATGCATTACGTTAACATGCACACCAAAAACAAGCTTATTGGAAATCATTGAGTTAAAGCAGAACATTTGAGAACGGGTTCACACCCACGCTTTCTTGCATCAACTAATATATCAGATACCCCCACACATAGCACAGTATTCTGTAAGAAAAATCTTTCCGTTATATCTGGGTTTTACAAATTGCTTCAACACAATTAAAGAAACCTATTGCCCTTTTGTTTTATATTAGAGTCAAGGTTACTTTCAAAAGCTTAGACTGAAGTGCATGTACATTATGCCCCAACAGAAAAGACTCGGTGATGGTCTTTGATGTCATATGATTTTATGACCATATCTCCTGACCATTCACAATCAACAAGATTACACTTTTTATATTAATTGTATCATCTGGTGCAGGAACTCCCGGCCCCCATCCTGGACGATGTTGCTATGCACAAACCAGCCGAGCAGCCGAGGCTGTCGCGTGAACCTCCAGACGGTTTGGACGCCATGAAGATCGCCTGGCGCTATCAGAATCTCCCGAAAGTACAGGTAATCAGGTGATCACATGACAGTTAACTGTACATTGTCTGTTTTTATAATGGAATATATATTAGAAAATAGGTAACTTGTAATTATGCTACTTTTAATAAACTTCCTAAAGTTGTCTTTGTTAATGATTATATGAGAAAGAACAGCGCTGGCTCTCTGGTCTTAGTGGTTTGGCAATTGTCTCTACCACTAAATCCATCAGCTTCTAAACTCCTTTGTGGAGTGAATGAGGCCTCAGCCTCTCCTTTCAGAGCTGGACCAGATTACTCACACTTAGCTGGCAATAGGTAGGCTTTTCACTGGTCCCCAACTCACATAGACACACATACACACACGCCTGCACCCCTGCTTAGCCTGGGAAACAAGAGTACTTTGCAGCCTGTGCATTGACATGTCTGCTCGCTCAACCCCATGACCCAGACCTGCGCCTCTGTCTTCCCCCAAATCCCTGCCTTTCCCCCTGCTAGGGTCGGCAGCCCTACACTCTTTCTTCCGCTTTGAGGAGAGGTGACCCTCCCCTTCTACTTCTCTGCAGTCTCCCCCCTTCAGTCTATAATCCATATCGCTATGTGGATTAACAGCACACAGTGTATCCCTGGGGATCCTCTCCCTCTTTCTCTCTCCCTGGAAACTTCTTTATATCTGTGTCCTTTCCTCACCTCTCCCCCTTCCTCTGTAAAATCGTCTTTACAAACCACTAGTAAGCCCCACCAGAGGATTTGCATCCCAAATTCACCCCCAGAGTCAACGCTTACTTTCCCCTTACACACACCTCTCCTGGCATAGCCCACTGTGTCGCTCTCCCGATGAAGACATCAGATCAAAGGTGAGGCCGCCAGGGCGGGGATGGAACGCTAAGCGGGTTGCCTGGTTCACAAAGAGAAGATGAGCCCCTGACCCCCCTGCCCTGCTGACCCCCTCGTCCCGCCAGGAGAGGGACACACCGGGGGCCCTAATCCAGATTAGGAGTAGATTAAGGGCCCCTCTAACAATGGAATCCCTGGTTTCACTCCGAGAGAAGAGCTAAAACTCTCTCTTTCAGCTGCAGGAAAACATCCGCCTTCCCCTGCGTCCCTGACACGTTTGCTTTCACAGCCAGAAGTGGACATTTATGTGAAGAAATGATTAAGACCGTGGTCGTAGTGGTTATTTAACTTCTCTGCTTATGGAAAGTTGAGGAATGACCCATAAACAATTCAATTGCATTACCATAGTATCGTGAAGCACACTCATTTAAAGTATTAAAAGACAAGTGAGATAATTATTTAATAGATTGCTTTTATTGTCATCTGATATTAGTTAAATGCAGATTAGTTTTTGTTAGAAACAAGCAGTAGCGTCAGACGGGGATGAATGAAAATACATTCAAATGCTCTTAAATTAAAGTTCTTAAGTCTCCTTATGCCTTGACATGAATTTGACTTGTTGACCTCCTCAGACTGCCCTGGCCTCTTCATCCCGGTTCGGGCACTACTATGATGTTTCCAAGACGATGGAGCCAGAAATTCGCCAGGCAGCCAAGTGCCACCGCTTCTACCTTCCAGAACATCCTACCCAGTCATCACCACCGCACAGGTAAAACGACAAGACATCATCCACAGAACGCATTGAAACCAATGAGACACCGTCTGCATAACATAGGCACACAAACACGACATCATACACAAAACACAGACGCACAAATAAGACATATTCAACAGAACTCTGGTAAACAAACATGGCATCGTTCACAGAATACAGGTAAACCAACAATGCAAACAGACCAACGTGTTTTAAAGAGTGTATACTTTATAATCCCTGCAAGCAGCATGTGTCTTTGAGAAAAGTCAACCTGAGAGGCAAAAACTCCAGATGTATCCCCAGTATCATGAAGAGCCCTTTGTTTTAGACATTTATAATAATATAATAAACTGGCGGACTGCAACTAATGCAATTAAAGATTGTTTTCCTTATCAATTTATCTTTCAGAATTTATTGTTTCATTGTTTTTTTTATATAATGTCAGAAATAGTCCGACAAAATATTATAATAGGAGAAACAATATAATATTAAAAACCAATATTAATATATTACTATTTTATATTCCAGCTTGTTTTGTCTGAGGAACACTCCAAAAGGCAAAATACTTAGAATTTTCTCCATTTATTAAATTGTTAATAAAACTAAAACAAAAATGTTATAAAGCTGGAACCGGTTTTTGTGTATTTCTGATGGAAATATTACTTATATTATTAACAAAGGTCTGTGGTAGTTGCTCCATACATTGTTTTAGACCTAAAGATGTACAGCACTGTTACTGAGATTCGAATTGCTTAAAATAATGAACATTTTAATCAATTAAGGTGAAATCTAATCATCCACATTATTAATCCTATCCTTATTTCTTGTTTGAACATAATGTTATTTTGTTTTAAAAATAATTAAATTGTACATTTTTTCACACATACAGCGGAAATAAATCAGTTAAACACCTGCTTGGTCCATCCTCTCTTCTAAGTAGTTTGCCTTTGGCTTAAGACATTCAGCCTCTTGGAAAGGTTGTGTATGTCTATTCAAATAAGGGTCTTGTTTGCTCAGCGTCTGTTTGATTTCTCCTGCGTTGAGTGTATTTAAGGTTCAGAGGTCATACGGGCTCTTTACTTAGAGAGTGCTGTTGAACACACAAGGGCACACGAAGCCTCACTCACACACACTGGGTAAATACAGCAATCTGGAGCACAGAGGATGTGGAGGAGGCTTTATAAAATCCCTCTTCCTTTATTTCAGCAAACAGAGACTGTTTAACAGCGCACCCAAGCAAACACATTAAATGTTATGGATATTCAGTTTAAAGTATACATTTTCGAGAGTGGACCATTAAGTGAAGTGATACTCTATTTTACTAAATATCAGGTCAGAACTTAAACATTTCTATTGATTGGGAGAAAATAAAATAACAAAATATCTTCTCCGTTGATGTCTGAAGCCCTGTGTCGCAGTGTAGTGAGTAGGAGTGACATGATGGTACTGTTTGTGTCTGAATGGCTTCTAGATCTTACAGACATTTTGACAGCAGGAAACTACACCTGCACCACACCATTGTCCCCCCGGCACCGCCCCAATACTGACACACACACACACACACACACACACACACACACACATACATACACACACACACACACACACACACACACACACACACACACACACACACACACACACACACACACACACACACACACACACACACACACACACACACACACACACACTCGGCATATTACAGACGCACATGTTCCAAACAAACTCCTAAGCAGGCTACTCCCCCTTGCACGTGTCCACAGCCCCATGTTGATACCCTAGCTGTTAAATTGCTCCGTTTCACTTGAAGGCATAATTGGCACAAATTGCTCTCTAGGTGATACAGATCCTGTTGTTTAAGACCAAGCATCCCCCTTCTCTCCTCCTTTCTTTCCTTGCTGAAAGAGAAACACTGAGATAAAGAAGCGTCCCTGTGTATGATCCTAATTAGCCGGCGCACCAGCCCCTGTAGCTAAGCACCTAGACCTTTTTGGTACCTGAATGAGGAGTGCTCGGTAGGGGTAGCTAAAACACAATGCCATCCCACACAATGGCTGCCAACCAGAGGCAACCTCCTGCTTAACTGCATGTCAAACCATCCCAGCCCCCTACCTCAGAGCAGGGGCATGGGCAGAGAGGCCAAGGAGGGTAGGTGTCCCTCTTTCACCAAACCAGCTCTATCATTAGCCCCAGCAGGGTCAGGAGGCACCATTGTCGGGCTGAATAACTGAAATAGAGTACATGGATGTACTTGGCGCAAGTGTAATCAGCATAAGTGTGTATTACTGTTCTTTATGCAGGGCTATTGGCGTGTGACCAATCTATGTGTATCAGCTTTTGTAGCATGCAGGTCGAATTGACAACTGACATAGCTGCCCACTGTGACTCTCTGCAGAGTGGTCATTACAATGGTGGGGCGTTCTTAAGTTGACGGACCTTAGTAAAAACATGGGGTTAACATTGTCTGTCTTATAGGTCCATGATGGGCTCAGCAGTAATCCTTCCCCTAACTGTTTCTAAATGTGGCTCTGATGGTACTGTACGCCCTTTGTCAGTAGTGCACATCTTACCCCTGATTAAACACCAAAATGCTGTTCCTTGTTAATTTTAGATATCAGCCCATTAATCCCCCCCCCCTCCTTCTCACTTATCGTCTTTGTTGTGTGTATGTTTGTGCATATGCACGTCTCATCTGTCTGTTTGTCCGTCTGTCTCGGCACAATCAGATCCTCGGGGAGCTGACAGAGAACCAGTCATGTTGTAATTTAATCAACCAAATTAATTAATTGGATCTCTTGATATGGATCATCTGTCTGCCTCAGTGGCTCCAGAAAAGCACAGTTAGGAGGAACATACTGCAGTCCTACAGGATTAAGCTACTGCGGTGAAAGGCTTGGCCCAGTTTTATCAAAATGCTTTTAATTACAGTTAACACGTCTGAAGTAACCCCTTTCTTTGTGTTCTCTTTCTGGTTGTCCCCTCAACTCTCTCCTCTGTCCTGTGCTCTTTTCAGTACCATGCTTGAGTCCTACTCGGCGTTGCTGAAGTCTCTTCAAGAGGTCATAAACAGGGAGGGCTTTGATGTAGCAGCCCCTATGGTAAGAACCAGAAGTGATGATCCACTTTGCATTTCTTTCTTTCAGCCTGATTAAAGGGTTTTTACATATATTTTTTAACTTTTTGAAAATGTGTATCTCAATTGAAAACCAACACACCAAACAGCAATCCCACCTTGAGTATATGTTTGCAGCTAAAACAGCAGACAAAGCAGCTGAACAAGAAAACATTTCAACCTTAGGCCAAGATCTCTTCATGTTATGGGATATCAAAGCTTCAACCATCATGCCGTTTAGTTAGACTAGAGTGTTAAAAATAACTTCAGTGTGGTTAAATGATTTGATTTAACAAAAAGCACCTACCACTCATATTTGATCACACATATACATTTCCATGATCACAAGTTTACATATTTTTTTCTTTTCAAGTAACGCTGGAGATGGACAGGAAATAGGGAGAGATTTTAAACGGTTCCCCTTCCATTGTTTGTGGATTTGGTTTTGGCTCTTATATTGGCTAAAAAAACAATGCTGAAAAACAGTAGACATGCAGTAAGCTGCCGCTAGCAGTGAAGCAACACAAAATGTTTGTGTGCATTTTCTCTTCTCACTAATTGTTAAATAATGTGAACTCGTTGACGTTCTGGTGCTTACAGGTTTGTGTTTCAAATGTGTGCTTCCAGACGTGCTAATTATTATAAGCCCAGTCAAACTATTGTGCTTTTAAAGTATCATGTGTGAGCCGCATTCATGGAGCAATTTTAAAAGAGAGAAAGTAAAACAGTGTCTGTGACCTGCAGCTCTTCTGTCACATTCCAACCACCACTTGTCTGGAGTCTGTTCACCTCTCTGTCACCTGCTCGGGTTGGGCCTGACCTGTGTGTCCCAGCTGTGTGTGTCTTACCTTTGACATACATCTTTTTAATAATCATCAGTCCCTTACAGAATGCCAGAAACAACCATGGCCCCTTCTGTTTCCCACAGGACCCAGTGTAATCCTCTTAACACTGTGATGTGCCTGTATATATGGATATATACGGGGTGTGTTGTGTATGTGTGTGTGTGTGTGTGTGTGTGTGTGTGTGTGTGTGTGTGTGTGTGTGTGTGTGTGTGTGTGTGTGTGTGTGTGTGTGTGGTGTGTGTGTGTGTGTGTGTGTGTGTGTGTGTGTGTGTGTGTGTGTGTGTGTGTGTGTGTGTGTGTGTGTGTGTGTGTGTGTGTGTGTGTGTGTGTGTGTGTGTGTGTGTGTGTGTGTGTGTGTGTGTGTGTGTGTCTTATTCACCTACTTTCGATGACCCCTCTGCTCGTCACCTGGAGCCACCTCTCCCCCTGTCAATCTCGCACAGGGTTTACCTCTAGTACCCCCCACCCTCCCTCCCCAAGCGCTGTCACTCACACGCCAGATTAACTGCTGACATCATTAAAGCAGTGTGGCCGCCTGACATGCTGTTGGCACAGTCGAGGAATGCAGAGCGGCACAGAGCGACATGGGCACTGGCACAAGAATGCCCAGTATGGGTGATAATCAGTGTGCGTGTGAGTTTATGTTTATTTGTGATTCTGCCATTATGGACTGGTAACAAGATGCAGATTTGATATAAACCGTGTAATGTTAATAACAGATTACATCAAGGGTTAATCTCCCAGAACATTTTTTTTTTTGGAGTCTTTTGAGATGAATGGGACAGGGGTGGCAGCAGGACTGTGAGTCTGCTCAGTGATTGGCTGGTGATTAGGTTGTGGTCCCAGGCTGGCTGCAGTCTATATGGCTGGCCTCGGTTCCTTGGCTGGACTCAACTGGCACTGTTCCCTGATTTTTCTATAGGCTAAACTATAGGAGTTAAGTTTGGCTTCTCCTCTTGGTGCCACAGCAACAGTCGTGTTACCACAACCCCCCCCTGCTGGGCTGCAGACATAGAAATCAAATTCTTATTCTCTGGCCCCCCAAGACCTGCGTAGGCAAAGCCTGTTAAACAAAGAAAGGGCATATCTAACAACCACAAAGGCCCACACAAAACACTTACACTTAAGTATAGTAAGGTATAGAGATGTAGCACTGATTTGGAATGCCGTAGCGGAGGATAAATGTAGTCCGGTGTGAGAGTCCTCCTTTGGGAAACTATGAGCCAACTGTGGAAAACTCCAGAAACAATGGGGTTTATTTTTCTTAGATGCCTGTGATTCTGATCCAGATTCAAACGAAGCTTAGGTCATACTGTTGGGAGAGGAAGCGATGGGGAGTAGGGTAGAGGAGATTTTGGGAGGGTTGAGATAATAGAGGGGGAGGGATGAAAGAGAGGAGAGGCTGGAATAAAACAAAAAAAGGAAAAAGTGAGCAGATTTTGGGCCAGAGCTTTGTTAATCACTCTTGGCTCTCACCTCAGTAATCAGGAGCCACCCTGAAGAAACTCCAAATAAAAGGCAATTGTAGGAAAGGTTAAAAACCTCTCACAGTTTGGACAGCTCCTCCATTCTCTCAGTTTCAGTGATATATATCCCACCACTGTTTGGCCACTTTTTCTCTGTCTTCATGAGAGTGGGTTACTGTTGATCTCTTATGGTGGGTTGGGGGGGTTGTTTCAAGGGAAGGCACTCCACCCTTACCCAGGCCCCCTTGGCTGCAGAGCATCGCTGTTGTGCCAAGAATGTGCTGGGGTTTCTGGGTGGCGGCCATATTGGAAGCCTGTCTGACAGGTCCATTGTGTGTGTGTCAGATGGCCTCTGTGATTGGGCAGTTGTGTCCAGTCACGTTTGGGCACCGATCGTCTGTGCTGGTGAGCAGACTGTCCAGTCGCTCTCTCCAAGAGTTTGGGAATAGTACCCATAACAGCACCTTTCCAAACTATTCCAAAAGCAGCAACATTTAAATCTTCAGATGCACTGGGAGAACTTTAAATAAAGAAAAAGTTTATTACTGCATGAGTAGAAAGTTACATTCTTGATTTGCTTTTTGGTTTTCCTGACCCCTTCTTTGTGCTTCTTCTTTTTCATAGTCAAATTCACGTAACATCCTGCGAATCGGGCTTCACTCTCTTGGCTCTGCTCTGTGGGGTGATGACCTGTGTTGCCATGACAACCCTAAAAATGGCCGCGCCCTCACTACCTTTCTCTATGGACTGCGTGCTTTGCTGAGGTCCTCGCTGTCAGTGGCAGTAGTTACTTTGCCTTCACATCTCATCCAGGTAAGACTCTTTTTTGACACACGAACAACAACTCTGTGCAGTTCACAAGCATCAGCATGAACTCAGGATACATTTATATGATCAAACATTACATGCATCTGATATATAACTGATGTATACACTTTTGATGCTAGTTTTAAAAAGTTGATAACAGTTTGTCATTCGTTAATAAAATGTGTGGTGCTGATATAATACCTCGACATCCAAAGTTTACAAATCATAACTCCAGTATGTTTTGCATTATTAAATTCTACATCTATATGTCTTTGCTTCTCTGCTGTGTTTTAAACTACCACCGTCAATTAATAACGAACTTTGAATTGACTTGAATTTACAGATAATAGACAGTTTGGATTTTTGGTGCGTGGTTTGGCCCATGTGCCTTTTCTTTGTCTCGTTTCATTAATGGGAAACAAAGTTTGAAGTCTTTTGTAGTGGGGCCTCCTCTTGACCCTGTAGTTCAGTGTCAACCTGGTATGACTCAGGCCTGAGCGGGGGCCTCTTCCTCACGCATCGCTCTCCCAACAGACCCAGTCGAGTGCACACTTCATTCAAAGGCCTCTGGATCTATGTTTGTTTGTTTGTTTGGGCTTTTAATTACTTGAAGCGTTACACAATGAGAGTGTGTGTCTGTGTTCATGCATTTTATTCTCTTACAAATATCCCTCCTTTAGTTGTGTGAGTCTCAGGCTGTGTGTGTGTTTATGTATGGGTTGGGGGGGGTTATGAGTCTGCGTGCATGCGTCTATGTACAGTCTGGCCTCTCAGTGTGAAGGTGGAGTCATCTGCTGAGGCATATGGCAAACCACAGCCCTCCCCCAGACAGTGGACCGTAGAAGCACACTTACCAGAAAAGCCATCTGAGACGTTCTACTTAAATGTTTTATCTTGCCTACACGTAAATCACCCTACTTCTTGATTCTCTTCAATCACAACAGCATGGAAACACAATAGTCTACATTGGTTTATATAAAGATATAGGTTGATTCTTAACTTTCAGAACAGCTGTGTTGTCACAACATGCTCTGGCTTCAAGCCTATATACTCAGTGCACAGCGGCCTTGGCCTAGTCAAAAAAGGTAGAGTGGCTAACTAGCAGATGTCAGCTGTGGTGGGAGCGGTCCCCCTGTCCCTCTCCGGCCTGGCCTCCAAACCCTTAATCTGTCCCCTCCCCCTTCTCCACCCTGGGGAGTGAAGTGAATGAGCGGGTGAGGAAGAGGAGAGGGGGACATTTTGGACTGAATCAGGTGTTGGGTGACTAAGCCAACATGGAGGTAATGAGAGACTGTTAGGATGGGTATCTATGAATTGACCTTATGATTAGTTTAATTACACTTGGTCTTTGATCAGCTGATCTCACCAAGGTGTGCAGGCTGCTAATTTTAACTTAATGACAACAATGTGTCTGGTACTTTAACAATTTGTGTGTTAGCAGAGCTTCTTTCCGCAACTACCTTTCCTGAGATGTTTATCTTAGTTAACGTGGCCTTTTTAAGACTGTCTAGACTAGTAGTAGTGGGCTAGCTGGCCGAGAACGCGCTGGACTCTCTATCCATTATTGAGCAGCTTGGGAAGTTGAGCAACTCACTGAAAGCCTCCTCACAGCGGCCCAGTGCCACAGTCCATCTGAAACATTAATTAGGCTTGTCCTAGCCCGGTCCTCCTCCATCATACTATCGCCTGCCACCACCCCCACAAGTAAACACACACAAACACAAAACACACAGTCGTCACTAAGATGCATCCATATACACCTCACCTGCTGCTCAGACTAAGTGGTGTCCTGACCTATGCAAATATTTAGACTTTGGACTGGTCAGGCAGAGTTGTTGTGTTGCTACAAAACCACAACTACATGTTCAGTTGACATTTACTAATTTGAATTTAAAGCTGCAATCAGCAGATTAATTGCATCATTGATTAATCTGCTGATTATGTTCTTAATTAATCCTTTAGTTTAGGGGGTATAAAAAGATTATGAAAGACGTATATGAAAACGTAGGAGAATTGTCAAAAACCAAAACGTATGTTATTTACTTTCACATAAGACAATACAAAAGCAGTAAATCCTGAATTTGTAAAATAAAGTTATTGATTTGTCTTAAAATGTTGTATTTTTCAAAACAGTAAAATATTTGTGAAATAACATATTTTATTAGCATGTTGTTATTTGTAATTTGTATATTAAAGGTCACCTGTCATGCTATTTTTTGGCAATAGCATAAGTCTCAGATATATAAAAATATATAAAAACATGTCTATGATGTGTTTTACTCAAAATACCAAACAGATCACCCATTCTAGCCATGCCTCATAGCCCCCTCTATTTCACTTACTGTTTCAAAAGTGCTGATTTGGGGTATAAAGCTTTAAAAAAAATAAAATTTTTTAATAAAAATTAAAAGAGGAGCGGGTCTGAGCTCATGCGGGACCCGGCAGCTACTGTCTAAACTAAATACTGTCCGTGATGAAACGCCATATCATGGATTATCAAGGATTATTTCTGAAACAGTATGGAGCTCAAAGGCTTTCTCTCTTGCCGGTTATTATACCACAAGGTGAGTTCCTTTTTATTTCCTGCTTCTTCACACACATGCTCTCCAGTACAGGTTAGCTCTGAGTGTTAGCAATGCTAATGTAAACACCGACCATATTACGTCCAAAACAGTCGGGCATTGTTTCTGATAGCAACGTTTCTGATAGTGCCGTGGGTCCACATTTCCGATATTACGTCATATCGGACGCAAATCTGGATCAGCTCTGTTGTAGCCCCGTTTTTAGAGATTTGGGTACGGAGGAAAAGAGAGAGGGTTTTATTTTCTGACGCTGCGTGAGTTCCCTGACACACCGGGACACATATTTATGTATAAAAGACATAAAAAAGTGCATTTTGCATGATAGGTCCCCTTATATTAAATTCCCATAAACTAAGCAGACCTTTTTAGCTCAAGAGCAAATGTTACTTAGTGGCTCTTTATTACAAATTAACATTAGTTTTTACATCTTAATCCGTCTAATTTTGTTACATAAAATTGTGTTTTTTACACATGTTTAAGTATTTTCAAACAAGAGCATGTATCTATAATAATCATGAAAAATGCAACTATGAGTTATATGTTATAGTGGAGAAACTGCCTGTGTTCTTCAGATAAGATTTATTTTGGAGCAACACCTGCTTCCAATCCTAGCCTTGGAAGTGTGCATTTATTCTGTTTCATATATAGACTCTACTCTCCAAAGACATTAAACAGAACGAAAGACATCTGCCTCCCTCAGAGTGATGTATTGAATTTTGAGTTTGTACACATAATATATCCATTTTCAAAAAAGCAAACTAAAGTACAGAGAGACATACAGCCGAAACCTGATAAGTCAAACATCTGTGATGAAATGGTGTTCATCACTAACTGGTTACATGCATTGACTGTGGTGGATTCAATTCAAGTTAAGATGCTGCAGGGTAAATGAAGGCTGTCTCTCCCTATGATCTGTCAGTCAGTGACGGTCAGCGGAGGCTCTGGGTGTTCAGGGGATTTGCACTGATGGAATCTGAGCTAATTGAGCCAGCATATACTTTCATTGCAGAATGGAGGACACTCTAGTTTGAGCTCATTATCAATTATGAATACAATTTCAAAAAATATGTAGACCTCCTAAAACTCAAGGAGCTGTGTACCACGTGCATGTCTTGCTGACGTCATTCTGCCTTTCTGCCCCTGCTCTGAGCAGCTCTATGACTTTGAAACTTTTGAGTCTTTGCCAAAGAGCCTCATCTTTGTATTCAAGTAAGCACAGAATAATTATTATAGCACAGAATAATTATTATTATTATAATTATTATTAGACAGACCAGCACAGACAAAGTTTTCGCAGACCCTCTCTCTCTCTCTCTCTCTCTCTCTCTCTCTCTCTCGCTCTCTCTCTCTCTCTCTCTCTCTCTCTCTCTCTCTCTCTCTCTCTTCTCTCTCTCTATCTCTCTCTCTCTCTCTCTCTCTCTCTCTCTCTCGTACAAACGCTATTGGCCATACTGTACCATTAGTTGTTTAAGAAACTGTCTAAGCCAAACTCTTACACTGACTTTAATTGCTGCATTTAAGTGACCTCAGATACCCTGTAAGTGCTGGCAGTACTGACTGGTGGGATATGCATACTTTAAAAGTAGGACAAAAATGAAAAGGAAGAAGAAAGAGTGGGGAAAAGACATGAAGGCATGAAAACTGCATTAGGCGGTGGCAGCCAACACAGAGAGAAGGATGTGAATGATTCAAGAGGCAAAAGGATTAATAATGCAGGACTCCCTCTTTCCCTCCATCCCAGTGTCCCTCTCTCTCACCCTCTTCTGCCTTTACCCTCTGCCTCCACCCTTTTGTATGTTTCTCATTATTTCTGTCTGCTGTGCTGTTCGCCCCTGATGTGTCCTCTTTGTTGTCAAGTCAATCACCTAACCAGTAGGGGGAGCCCTCCCCATCGAGCCTCCACTACTTTCTCCCACTTCCTTTCTGTCCTCCCCCGCTGTGTGCCAGTTTGAAAGTGTGCCCCAACTGTGAGCCTTACTGTAATAATTGTTCTTCCATGAAGTAAAATAATGATGTGTTGCCACTTGCCATTGACTTCATAGGCCACGTTTGAAGATGTATGCCTGATGTAAGGTTTTAGTTCATTTACCTGCCCAAACATCACCTGTGTAACCTATCAGGGCTCTTTCTCCTCATCACCCTCACCTAAGCCTTGGGCAGAAATGACCTGACCACGGGACATGATGACCTCATTTAATTGCAACACTGATGGCCCGTCAGGAGGCTTTTAATTACCTGCTCATGTTTCTCTCTCTCTCTCTCTCTCTCTCTCTCTCTCTCTCTCTCTCTCTCTCTCTCTCTCTCTCTCTCTCTCTCTCTCTCTCTCTCTCTCTCTCTCTCTCTCTCTCTCTCTCTCACTCTCGACCCTACAGGACAGAGCTCTAATGGGCAGCATAACCAGGCTATGTGACAATGCCATAGCCCTGGAATCATTCAAAGGCTCTGAGAGAGAGACCAACCCACTCTACAAAGATTACCATGGTAAGAACACACACACACACTCGCTTATCTTTCTGTCTCTTTTCCCTCAGACACACACGTACACACAAGCAGTGCATTAAGGCTGGGGCTGGGCTGTGGATGGAGGCAGGGCAGCCCCCTTGCAGGCCAGGCTGTCAGTGCGCGTTAGTGTGCTGCTGCTCAATCAGACGTGCTCCTCAGTAGACAGGCCGGGGGGGATTCAGCTGCCACGCTGTACCCCCTCTCCCTCGCACCCTCACCCACTCCATCCCTGCCTCCCCCCCTCCAGCACAGCCTCTCTCCCTCTCGCCTCGCCCTCTCTCCATCCCTAGTCCCATACCCCTGAGGCTCTGGAGCAGAGCAGACCAACACTGGGGAATCGATATTCTCACCATCACTCTCTCTTCCTCTCTGCCTGTATCTCTCCATCCCTCGCTCAATGTCTCCATGGCCAGCATGCTCTGCTAATAAATGGAGGGCAAGGCTTTCAGTAGAGGGAAGAGGACACCAATAAGGGACGAGTGGAGAGACGGAAACGAAGAAAAGGAGGGGGGGAAACATAGTTTGTCTCTGCTCTCTCCGGCCTCGCCATCACTTTTCTTTTACGGTTTTATCATTCGTTCTTTCTCTTGTTTGCTTCCCTCTTTTCTATCACACTCTCCGCGAATAAAGGTCAGTTTAAGCGAGTGGGGTATTTTTAGCCATGCCTCTCGAACTCTCCGACTCACTCTTGCGCTTTTTCTCTCGTTTCCCCCCCCTCCCTCCTCAGGGTTAGACGGCCTCGGTTGTGACGGATGAAGGGATGAGGAGTAAAAACATTCAATGGCAGATTTTGGTTTCATCCAACAGCATGTTTTATTTAGATAACCCATCCCATAGTGACCACATTCCTCTTCATTGTAAAGGCAGGTGGCATGTAAACGCATGTATTATTTGAGCGTTGTGGGGCATCATTAAAAAAAAAAGATTGGAGTACAAAATTGTTCTTTGGGATTTGCAATTAATATTGTTTGAATTTCTCATTCAAGAATATATTTGCCGTCTGTTTAACCAGCCAGTAAGATTCTGGTTGTGTTATGAAATACATTTATGTGCATGATTGTTTTGATGTGAGTGCAAACGCATCTGGTATGAGTGTGAGAGTGCGTGCGGATGCGCGTGCGTGCGTGTTTGCGGCAGCAGTTCAGGGCTGCTCAAAGCATGCTGGGAAGCCTGTCACTGCAAATCAGGCAAGGGAAAATCACCCAAGTGCACAGAGGAGAGAACCCACCATCCCCCACTTTCTGTGTCTGTCTCCCTTTCTCCATTACTCTCTCGATTTCTTCTTTTCTCTCTCACGATCATTTATACCATCCCACTTCTTTTGTACTTTTCCAGTTTTATTCAAATGTAACTTTGTGGGGACAAGAAAAGTGAAACACAGAGTTAAAAAAGTGCTGCAAAACGTCCCTCTACCCTTTGCAGGAATCCCTGACTTGTATTTGTGTACTGCCCCTCATTGCTCTACTGTGTCCTTTAATTGGCAAATGTACTTTACAGTACACCCATGCTCCAGCCTGTAGGGAAAATAAAGAGCGTAAGATTATCAATTTAGAAATGTTGTTTGTCAATATATGATAATAAGTAATTTCTCTGGTCTAAGCAACTTTGATGCTTAGTGCAGATGTAGGTGTCAAAAGATATTGGTTTGTTTATGACTGTCCTACTACATTCACTCAATTAGACCAGCACCCTTTACTTCAAAACTAATAAGGACAATTTAGTATCGATTTGTGTAAACATCTTTCAAAATTCTTACTATCCAACATTTTGGGATAAGCAGGGGGATTATTGAAAGTTTCCTTTTAAGATGCTGACTTCAATGCGTCAAATGAAAACAAGTGTTTGTAGATATGAAAAAGCGAAAAAACACTTCCCTTATTATAGTATTTTATCATATTATAATAACGGTTATTTAAAATTTAAATAAAATAGAATACCAATAGCAATTGATTTGTTTATAATCTTTTCCTGTTGAGCCCCACGGCCCCGCGGGCGGGGACAGAGACGCAACATCTGCAAGAAACAGCGTCTGAGGGCTTCTTAACATTTAACAACCTATTAATGTGTCATACCCACTTAACGGGAAGAAACTCAGCTAACTGACGATATGACATTTTTTTACCGAAACAAAACACAACTCTAACGCAGAGCCTCTGAATTGGCCCTGAGCGAAAAAATGCTAACGCACTTTGCACAGAACTCATGGTATAAATACTTTATTACTTATCGGATCTGCACAAACAACACAAATATATCAGATTGAAGCTGAGATTCCACAGAATCTAGAGGTATAAGTATCATCACTTTGCGACCAAAACTCACGGCAGCGAAGGCAAACCCAGACAACAAACCACGTAGCTTTACGGAGCCAAAATGGCAAATATGTCTTACCTTTGCTGTTTTTCTGATCAAAAGTTGTGTTCAATGGCATTAAAACGATAAAAGCGCTGCCGAAGGTTAATCCAATGTCTCTGTGTCCCTTTGAAATGATTACTGATAATCCATCATCATATGTATGACTATAACCTAGTTTTTAGTTTTCAGAGCATAACATAGCTTTCGGTTTCGCGCATCACTCTCATTCCTCAATGGTAATGTGTAGGTGGATTTAGGAACTTCCCCTCGATTCTATTGGCTCTAACGGTTCAAAAGAGGTGTCAATCATCAAAATTGACCAATGGGGGCCAGAGATATGGCAAATCCACCCAAATGACCCCAGAAGTGTTTTTTTTCTAAATCTCTCTAAAAAGGTCAAATGTCACTTGTTTTGCATCAATCTTGATACAGGGTACTTATTATATGTTATAGTTTAGATTCCTAAAGCTTTTAGTCTGCTATCCCATCATTCAAGGGTGGTTTTCACTATAAGTAATGTGTTTTTTTTGGACGGACACTATAATTTACATTTTCTTACTATGTTCAATCTGAATTTACTTTAAAATAAAAAAAATTATATTGATTCTGACTTTTCTACATCCAACTCACAGGTGTATCATTGCTTAGAGAAAAAAGATGATTCATTTACCCCTTTTAGAAGGGAAGATATAGTCATTTGTTCTGGGAATGTCATTTTCGAGCCTGAGACCTGAAAAACAGGTTTGGGGCTTAACAGGTTAAGATTATAGTTTTTTTTTTAAAAGAGATAAACCTCTGCCTAAGTTGTATTTTTAAAGACTATATTAAAAGACAGACGCAGATAAAAACGTGGACATCATACAACAATACTACTAGAATGTAGTGGTATATTGCTTTTTTGCATTGTTCAGCCCATTCGGTTTTAATATGCTTTCATCGTTTTTCACAGGTCTGATACATGTACGCCAAGTACCTCATCTGAACTGTCTGGCGAGTAAACTTCCTGACCACAAGGACCTGGCCTTCAAGCTCAAGAGAAAACAGTTCAGTATTGAGGTAAGTTGTCAACATTACACAGTCTAGCCTGGATTTTAACAAAAACAGAACTTGGTTTTATTTTGATGATCTCTCTTAGTCTATTTTGTTGCCCCATTTTATTTTCTCTAAAGTCTTTTTACCATTGCAAATCTTCCCATTCACCATGTTCATAGCCAGGCTGAAATCTAGTGCTGATGGTAATGAGACGTCTCTCAAGTCAGCCAAGTTCTGCCAACCTTTTATTATTATTGGGTGTCAAAATAAAAGGTGAAGCTATTGATTATACACTGTTGCTGCCACACTTACTTCAGTGTAGTGTCAAGAGGCAACAGGGTGAAACAAATCTCCATCTATATTCATGAATATGCGAAGAATAAATACTTTTGGCAGTTAAAGTTAAAGGTATAATTCACATTTTATATACAAATACAAGACTATAAACTAATCGGCAGTAGAGACATACATGCATGGACATGTTCCCAGTCATCATGCCAGACAAAAGTGAAGCAACAGCAACAAACATGGTTCCACTATCCACTAGCTCTCAATAGAACAAGCTTTGTACGGTAGGTACTGCTTACTTTCTCTGGCAGGGCTCTGTTCATTCACTCCACAGCTGGCAACAGCCGTGACCTGTTGAGAAAATGAAGCAGTAGACAGTTGCTTTACCTCATGCTGCAGCCCACCATGACAGTGTAATCAATGGTAGTTTTATGTCAAAGTGGCCAGGCAAACACTACTTAGGATAGATGCAAGACCAGAAGATTACACAATTTGACATATTGCTTCATATCCCTCCAATTCATAGTTTGACTTCTCTACAGTTGGACCACAAAACACTGCAGGGCTAAAGTTAAAATGGGCGTTGTGATAGTCATACAAACAGTGCGTGCTCACTGAAAGGTAACAATAGGTAAAGATGTCGAATTTGGCATACATTTATTTTATACTAGATGTGAGAAAGAAGAAAAGTGAGGAGAACAGGAGCAAGTTGGAGAGTAATATCCCTATGAATAGAGGCAAATAAGTATGTCTGTATTCCCAGGATTAGACAGTTCATCTGCAGTGAGTTTTGCGCAATGCCTTAAATGTACCACACCGTCCAGCCATAAGTGCTACGAAAGTAACTTACTGGAATCAGATAACTAATTCATACCATGCTGTGAACTATGGTTAAGCATCAATACAGTGGCATCTCTTTGAAAATCCCTTCTCATCCTGTGAGAGGATGATGATGTTGCATGACTTATTCCTAACAGGTGCTGTATTAGTGACTCTTTGACCAGGTTCATCCATTGGTTGTAGTTCACCTTTTAATTTGCTTTGTCATATTTGCTGTTTTATATATTTGAACTGAACTGGAGCACTGCTGACTCTAGCTACATTCATGACAGCTGCTGGCCTACGTTGCCTCTGAGAGGGCTTACTGTATGTCATTTTGGTGACTCCAAGAAGAACAGGGTGAAGGCGGTGAGGCCTGGAAACAGCCTCAACATCCCCGTCAGAGCACAGCTGCTGCAAAGGGAGATTGGGCAGTGTGTAATGGTGCACAAAATGGACACGTGCAGAGGTTTCGTTCATCAAGGGTATATGATGCGGACATTAGCGCTCATCATGGAAGCACCACTATGTGTTTACCGTTGACTTTCCCCTTAAGATTAGTTAGGCTCTCAGCATGTTTCATAGTTATCTACCACAATATCCAAAATGTTTTCTCTCTCTGTATTGATTGGGAGTATATATCCCAATACAAGCACCAGTCGGGATATGAAGGATGAGGTTTTTTCAACAGTTTTTTCTTATCATTTGCAGAGCAACAAATCTGTTTCAGCCACTTGCAACTTCTTCTCTGTACAACGGGCACAGCTTGTTCTGAATTGTGATTGCGATCCCATTGCAAACTGGCCTCACACATTGTTTTTGAATGTTCATTGGAAATTATAGGGTGCAGACATTCTGCATGTAGGACTATTTCACAATCACCTCACAGTTTAATACAGTTCACTACAGTTTACTTGTTGGCTATTTTCTTCATTCCCTGTTTGTATGAACATTCATTTGGGTAGCTATGTTTGCTCTGTCTGTACAGAGCAACATAGACATATAGACAGAGCTTACACACAGAACTGACAGATTGTGCGGCCTTTCAATTTCTTCATTCATTATGATTTATGAATTCTTGTCCTCTTTCTCTTTCTCTTCCTGTCACATCCATGTTGCATGTGTCACATCATCAGTCTCACTCAGCGCAATCAATCTGTCACTGAACTACCACTCTAGAGACAAATTAAGGGGCCCTCCTCTTAGCTCAGGCTCATGATTGGTCCTCATTACATTATCATTACCTTATCACACCCTCTGGTCCTTGGCTCTTAGTGAGTCCTATTGTTTCAGCAGGAGGTGAGGGGGAGGAGAGGAATGCCCACCCCCCTAAACTCTCTCCGCATCCTATGGTCAAACCCCTTCTCATTTTCTGCCAGCCTTCACCATCCTTCTAACCCTTTACTCTGGTCTGCATTGGTCCGCTCCCCCCTCCTTGCTCTGACTCCCTGAATAGGCCACTCTAGTATAGATTTATATGGTTCGTAAAAGTCAAGGTGGTTATCCTCAATGGTCTTTTAATTAGGCTTCTGTATTGGTCAGGCCAGGGGGCAGAGGCCTAGAGCATCCCTGTAGCTCTGTGGGGCCTGGATACTGTGTCATATATCCCAGCAGCACATTGTAAAGACCAAGCTTTGTCTGCCTTCCTTCTTTAAGGAGCTTTATTGGAGTTTTTTTGTTGAATGGCAACCATACTCTTGTATTGACCTGATTCACATACCATTACAATAGTTATATCCAGAGGACTTTTCATCATCCAAAACGGCTGATAATGTTGACACAAGAGAGTACATGATATGAAATGTCAATCACAATCCTTGGCCATGGCATGTTTTATGTCTCAGGGAAATTCCCATAGAACATTGCATGATATCACCAGTCAAGCGTCAAATCAGTCAAAACACATATTGCAATAGGCAATTATTTTCCCGTGCTGGGTTCTATGGCTTTTTGATTGACTGTCATTAATTAGTACATCACTTTACTTTGAGATGTCACAAAGGTATGAGTGCATGTTGGCTCTGCATCCCTGGTTACACAGGTTGGATTATACCAGTTTACCATTGTATGCCTTGCATGCAGGACTGCTGTTGTGCTCTGACTACGTGGCTCAGCGTATACTGTGTTTGACCTGTTGGTCAACTGCTGGTGGGCCACTGATTGACACATGATTGGATTTTAAGCCCAGTGTCTGGTGTGTGACAGCTCACACCATCCCTGCTAATCACCTCATTTACTCAAACTACAGGGCTCCTCACCCTGGGGCCACATAATACAACATTCTCTTACCAAGTGCTCACAGTCTGTCTTCTTCCTCATATCTGTTATGGTAGTGATGGATCAGTTCTTGAGCTTCACCCCCTTCTTTCAACTTTTGACCAAAATTGTAATTGCTCCGAATCAAGCCTCACTCAGATGTTTATCAGCATCATATGTGGATTAATTTGTGATGTTGTGGTGGCAGGTGACAGGTGATTGACAGTGGTAGCTTCTCCCCAGGTGGGTCACGCAGCTACATGACACTCCCAACTGTGAATGGAGTCATGCTGGTAACACATTTTTTAACTGCTGTTTGACTCAGGTTCGTAGCGCCTTAGGAATGCCGAAATATTTATTTGACAGCACACACAGAGTACAAGTTTTATCAAAAAACAAATATTTTGTGTTCAGCTACTGTAATAATTCACTTTTTTCTAATTCAAAAGGTTTTAGTAGATTATATCCCAGCCTCACACTCAGCACCATCATCAAGGTTCTGTTGGTTCGTGATAAGGTTACCACGACAACAGTTGACGTTTCCAAGAGTTCACACTGCGGTTGATGAGCAGTTATTAGCCATAATGCCTAAAGCCAGAATTAACCCATGGCCCTGTCTGAGCAGGTAGGGGTGTGTTAGGTGTTTAGACAAGATTAACACATACTCATAGACACACAAACATTGCTCACTCCCACACATAGCGATATTGACATTCATGCAAAGACAAAACATACTTATTGAGAAATGCAAGCACATATGTGACACGCAATGCGTGTGAGAATGTTTTCACTCTTATTAAACACAGACTTCTGTCACTGCTTTCACAATGCAAGATGCTTTGAGGATGAAGCTCTGAAGAATGCAGATGGTACGCAATTATATTCTTGGTACCTCTGTCTGACCCTTTAAACTGACAGCTAATGTGCCTATGGGGTACTGGGGTGCCAGAGGCAGGTCAGAGGGTCAAATACAGTATAAGACGGGGATTTATGTCAAATTAGTCTTTGCCTAGACGGGCTATTTAGAGGTGTCAGTGACAAGCTCTGCCAAAAGGGTCTAAAAGACCTTTTTAAGGAAAACTGTGTACTCCTGCAAACTTTCAGTCATATTAGGATGTTTGTTTAACATTTTATGCCTTCATTTTAAAGACATCATTGGATAAAGTCAGTAAGAAGAGATCAGGATGATGAAGGTACTAGGCCCTGACTCGTATTCAAGATCTCGCTGTGCCTTTTGCCACATCGATTAATGGTGGTTATTGTAAATGACTATTTCTGACTCATTAGTACAGTTCAAATCAACATCCAAGTCTGAATTCAAAGCAGAATACTATATCTTTTAGATATCTTAGGTTAAAAAATGTGCAACTTTTCCCCACAATGTAGCACCTCGTCATCATTCAAGGTGCAACCATGGTCAATCAATTAATGCAAACACACGTATTGACTTTAGAGCCTTAAGTTGACATTTGATGGACTGTAGTTTTTCGCTCTTACACTTTGGCTTCATTTTTCAGTCCAGGATGTTGCCACTTGTTTTATTGCATGCTGTTTTTGGTCTGAACACCATCAAAGATGTGCCCAAAAGAGAAATCAGGCACGGTTTCATTCTGTCAGCCAAAGACCAGCGTTGTTATTCTTATTTATTTTTTATTGATAAA